ACCTTTCGTTACCCATAATATATAGCAATGAATAACCGGACCACAAGACGTCTGTTTTATCGGGACATTGGGGTGCAGTTGTTGTCTGACTGTGTCTGTATATAACACAAGAGTTAACGCTTTGTAAGTAAGCAAATCATATAAACCTCGTAAAAAAATATCCGATGGAAGGCGCTTTGCGGCCAACTGTTCCCTCAGCTCCCGGAGAACCAAAATCACCGACCGGTCCCGGAATTCCTTCCCTTCCTGTAAATCAAAGTCCAATTATAAATATGAAATTTAATAGAAAGAAACTAACCGTCATATCCGGCGTCTCCACTTAGACCGGAAAGACCCGGGAAGCCAGGGATTCCAGGATTTCCTTGGTATCCGGGATTACCCACAACGCCTGGATAGCCGTCCAAACCAGGGTCGCCCATAGGACCCGGATAACCTGGTAAGCCTATTCACAATGTAGCAGTTATGAATTACAGACAACAGTAACACAATTACAAACCTGGTTCTCCTCTCGTGAGTTCTAAATGACCCAATTCTGGCGAATCTCCCTTTAGTCCGGCGTCTCCTGTGTTTTCAAATTTTATTATATTTATCATTTAAATTCAGTTTACTTTAAACATATAAAATTCAGTATCGAATATACATGTACCGGCTAATCCTGGAATTCCATCAATTCCTGGCAATCCTGACAATCCGTTGTCTCCTCTGTCACCTTTGGTTCCGGGATATCCCGGAAGACCAAAATCACCATAATCACCTTTCATGCCTGACATTCCCGGCAATCCATTCATTCCCTATTCATATAATAATTATTAGTTATTGATATAAGAATAGGAAACTATATAATATATACGGGGAATCCTTTTTCTCCTGGGAATATAGGAGGTCCAGGATAGCCAGGTTCACCAATTTGTCCCTTTAGTCCTGATAGACCTGGAAATCCTGACATCCCTTTTAAGCCTGGAATGCCATCAATTCCTATATATATATAAAATATAAAAGTGTTAATTCTGTTAGTATTTAAAGAATTAAATGTACATTAAATTAAAACAATTAAATGCAATTAACAAACCGGGGAACCCATCAAAACCAACGTCTCCGCGCTCTCCTATATTACCGGCGTGTAAATGTCCCGGAAAGCCGGGTAAACCAGGAATTCCGTCTAGACCTGGATCACCTGGCAGTCCCTTTTGTCCGGGCCATCCATCTCTGCCCGAATAACCCGGTCTTCCGGGTTCTCCTGTTATTGTGACTGTTATTATATAAATTCATTAATTATAGGCTATTAATATAGTTTTAAATAGAGAATGTATAATTACATGTATAATTAAATGGTCGACCGGGAGGTCCTGGAGCTCCCCTTCTTCCCTATTCATCATGAAATTTGAAAGCATAAAAATTGCCAATAATTAACACAATTATCTTACGGGCGGTCCTTTGGGACCAATTAAACCATTTCTTCCCGGCATTCCAGGAATACCTCGATCGCCAATTGGACCCACAAATCCCGGCTGACCAGAGTAACCGTCGTCACCCCTTTGTCCGGGCAAACCAGAGATCCCGGGCAGACCTGCATCGCCCGCATCGCCTCTACTGCCCTCCCAAGACGGCACACCTGTGTTCACAACAATTATATAGTGAAGTCTTAACCGGACAAATGTGAGTAAAAACCTGGTACTCCTCGTTCTCCTTTTGCGCCCACAATACCAGGTATTCCGTAAAAGCCGGGGTCGCCTTTGCCTCCCGACAGTCCCGGCAAACCTACAAAACCTGTCTCTCCTCTCATACCAACGAAACCTAATTGTAATGCAATAAGTGATTAATGATTGCAAACATCTTTCCAGTTAAATGTAATACCGGGTAAACCAGTCAATCCATTATCTCCTCTAAACCCGGGCCGACCGTCCAATCCATTGATTCCGTGCAAACCATTGTCACCACTTTCACCCGTTTCACCCGAAAGTCCTGGTATTCCCATCTCTCCCATCAGGCCTTTCAGACCCGGAAGGCCGGGGAGACCGGGATTGCCTTTTTGTCCCAGTTCTCCGTCATAACCGGGTTGTGCTAATAATGCAATTCCTATTTCTCCCATTTGTCCTTCAATTCACGTTTAAATTACATTTAAATGAAGTTATTTAATTAAGATTTGCTAAAACTGACCCTTAGATCCGGGAAGTCCTACCAGACCTGGCGAACCCTCATAGCCATCGATTCCTTGCAATACATTTCAAAATTAACAAAAAGCGGTCATAATATTGAACACAACCTCTTAAGCCTTGATCTCCGCGCTCTCCTTTAGCGCCCTTAGCACTGGACCGACCGCTCAAACCCGGCAAACCTTGAATACCAGACACACCGGGCGGTCCTTTAGGTCCCGGGAGACCATCTCTTCCCGGCCAACCGGCGAACCCATCGTCTCCTTTGATTCCTAAAGTGTTTAATTAAATTGTTGATAATTTTTTGAAGCAATATTTAAATTGAAAACCTGGTAATCCAGGGATTCCCGGTCTTCCCGGTGTTCCTCTTNACTGGAAAGATGTTTGCAATCATTAATCACTTATTGCATTACAATTAGGTTTCGTTGGTATGAGAGGAGAGACAGGTTTTGTAGGTTTGCCGGGACTGTCGGGAGGCAAAGGCGACCCCGGCTTTTACGGAATACCTGGTATTGTGGGCGCAAAAGGAGAACGAGGAGTACCAGGTTTTTACTCACATTTGTCCGGTTAAGACTTCACTATATAATTGTTGTGAACACAGGTGTGCCGTCTTGGGAGGGCAGTAGAGGCGATGCGGGCGATGCAGGTCTACCCGGGATCTCTGGTTTGCCCGGACAAAGGGGTGACGACGGTTACTCCGGTCAACCGGGATTTGTGGGTCCAATTGGCGATCGAGGTATTCCTGGAATGCCGGGAAGAAATGGCTTAATTGGTCCCAAAGGACCGCCCGTAAGATAATTGTGTTAATTATTGGCAATTTTTATGCTTTCAAATTTCATGATGAATAGGGAAGAAGGGGAGCTCCAGGACCTCCCGGTCGACCATTTAATTATACATGTAATTATACATTCTCTATTTAAAACTATATTAATAGCCTATAATTAATGAATTTATATAATAACAGTCACAATAACAGGAGAACCCGGAAGACCGGGTTATTCGGGCAGAGATGGATGGCCCGGACAAAAGGGACTGCCAGGTGATCCAGGTCTAGACGGAATTCCTGGTTTACCCGGCTTTCCGGGACATTTACACGCCGGTAATATAGGAGAGCGCGGAGACGTTGGTTTTGATGGGTTCCCCGGTTTGTTAATTGCATTTAATTGTTTTAATTTAATGTACATTTAATTCTTTAAATACTAACAGAATTAACACTTTTATATTTTATATATATATAGGAATTGATGGCATTCCAGGCTTAAAAGGGATGTCAGGATTTCCAGGTCTATCAGGACTAAAGGGACAAATTGGTGAACCTGGCTATCCTGGACCTCCTATATTCCCAGGAGAAAAAGGATTCCCCGTATATATTATATAGTTTCCTATTCTTATATCAATAACTAATAATTATTATATGAATAGGGAATGAATGGATTGCCGGGAATGCCAGGCATGAAAGGTGATTATGGTGATTTTGGTCTTTTGGGATATCCCGGAACCAAAGGTGACAGAGGAGACAACGGATTGTCAGGATTGCCAGGAATTGATGGAATTCCAGGATTAGCCGGTACATGTATATTCGATACTGAATTTTATATGTTTAAAGTAAAATGAATTTAAATGATAAATAACTTTATAATAAAATTTCAAAACACAGGAGACGCCGGACTGAAGGGAGATTCACCAGAATTGGGTCATTTGGAACTGACGAGAGGAGAACCAGGTTTGTAATTGTGTTACTGTTGTCTGTAATTCATAACTGCTACATTGTGAATAGGCTTACCAGGTCATCATGGTCCTATGGGCGACCCTGGTTTGGACGGCTATCCAGGCGTTGTGGGTAATCCCGGATACCAAGGAAATCCTGGAATCCCTGGCTTCCCGGGTCTTCCCGGTCTAAGTGGAGACGCCGGATATGACGGCTAGTTTCTTTCTATTAAATATCATGTTTATAATTGGACTTTGATTTACAGGAAGGGAAGGAATTCCGGGACCGGTCGGTGATTTCGGTTCTCCGGGAGCTGAGGGAACAGTTGGCCGCAAAGCTCCTTCGATCGGATATTTTTTTACGAGGTTTATATGATTTGCTTATTTACAAAGCGTTAACTCTTGTGTTATATACAGACACAGTCAGACAACAACTGCACCCCAATGTCCCGATAAAACAGACGTCTTGTGGTCCGGCTATTCATTGCTATATATTATGGGTAACGAAAGGTATAAATGAATGCATTAACAAACAAATGGACACATTATTTCAAATGAATCAATTTGTCGGTGATATAGAGCTCACGGCCAGGACTTGGGAAGTCCTGGTAGTTGTTTGCGACGGTTCAGTACAATGCCGTATATGTTCTGTAATCTCAACAATGTGTGTCATTTTGCCTCAAGAAATGATTATAGCTATTGGTTGAGTACAGCAGAGCCGATGCCAATGGCTATGACACCCATATATGGCAGAGATATACAAAAGTTCATCAGTCGATGCAGTGTTTGTGAATCAGCGACACAAGTGATTGCCATTCACAGCCAGAGTATGCATATTCCCGACTGTCCTAATGGTTGGGATGGTCTGTGGATAGGATATAGTTTTTTCATGGTTTGTAATCATCAATATTGAAATTAGTGTTTGAATTAACGGTAAAACTATTGACCAGAACACGGATGCGGGTGCAGAAGGTAGTGGTCAACCGCTATCATCTCCGGGCTCTTGTCTGGAAGACTTCAAGCCTAACCCATTCATTGAATGTCAGGGACACGGAAAGTGTAATTATTATACCACTGCCTATAGCTTCTGGTTGGCGACCATTGATCACAACCAACAGTTCAGATCACCCGACTCTCAGACACTCAAGTCAGGAGATCTCATCTCAAAGGTGTCGCGCTGTCAGGTCTGTATCAGAAGAGCTGTTCCCATACGAAGACAACGTCCCATCAATAGAGGCGTTCCCGTCAAGAAGTGATACATTAGTCTATTTAATTCACTGCCATTTAAATAAATAAATTCGTTTTTAATTTATTATAATTTATAAACTAAATAAATTATATAAACAATTGCTTTTCAATGATTACTAATCTATAAAAATGAAATGTTGTGTAAATTATTGTTATTATATATACTTTTTAATTCTGTATTCATTTAAATTACAAATTTTGAAATAAGACTACAATTCTAGTCAAAAAATTATATTTTAAAGTTAACACTTTAGTGTTGATAAATATTTAATCCATTCGCAACTTTTACGACCACAAGACATGTTTCACATTACTTTTGGTCGAGAGAGAGAGAGAGAGAGAGAGAGAGAGAGAGAGAGATATTGATGGGACGTTGTCTTCGTATGGGAACAGCTCTTCTGATACAGACCTGACAGCGCGACACCTTTGAGATGAGAGAGAGAGAGAGAGAGAGAGACTATGAAAATGAACATTTTTATTTAAATTAAAATAAATGCAACTAAATGTATATTACATGACAAACTGATTAAGGAATTGAAATAATAATAAAATCCATAAAATGAAAGAATAGTAAAGAGTGTTAAGCGGAAGAAAGGCCGAGAAGAAAACCGCCGGCAAATCCGGAGGCCATCACCGCATTGTCTTTGGCAAAGCGTTTGGCTTTTTGGGTCAATTGTGGTAACTCTTTATCCTTGCGTTTATTGAACTCCTTTTTAGCCAAATCCAAGTCTCGATTCAATCGTTTCCAATCGACGCGAATGTATCCGTTATAGTGAGCCAACTGTCCATCAAATCAATACATTATTCACTCAATCAATACAATCAGAGAAAACGAGACATACATTCAAGAGGAGGAAAGTGCCGCCAATGGCCGCGCCGGCAGTCCTCCCGAATTTGGCCAAAACAAAGCCTGCAGTCCATCCACTTATGGCACCGATTGTCAACTGTTTGGCCGACGAAGACTTCTTCAGGTCTTTATAGTATTTGTTGACATAACTCAACGGATCCTCAGAAGAGTTCAACTCTTCAAACAAATCGTCGTTTGTTTTGCCTTTCAATACAATTGACAATCAATTCATTCATTCAATCCATTATATAGTCATTAAACTCACCGCTAATTGTCATCACTTTTACAACGATTTCAATCACAACTCAATTATAACTCAATTATAGCTTTAATTCAGATTTCGGTGAGGTTCTAGTAGTGGTACCCGCGTATATTTTTTATTATTCTTATGTAAAATTCAACGCTAAACACGAATTTAATAATCATTTATTTTTATCTCGAATATTTTTCGACTTATTCGACTTAGAACTTTTTGTTCGGAAATAATTTATTTGTGTGATCTATTAATATTATATATTAATTCGATGTAGAATTTGACGCTGAATAAGGATATGAAATCAATTTTCAAATCCAATTAATAGTTTAAAAGTTATTCAAATAAACATTTTATAAAACAATAGCTTATAGTCGAATAAGTTGAAAAATATTCGAGATAAAAATAAATGATTGTTAAATTCGTGTTTAGGGTTGCATTCTATACAAATTTAATGTATAACAAAATTAACTTTTAAAAAATTATTTTTAACAATGTATTCACGGGTACCATTACTAGAACGTCACCCAGATTTCAATACTGTTTTGTATTCGCAATCAAAACAAACATTCAGTCATTTAAACACTCATTCATATAAAACGTCTGTATTTTGCAGACATTTTTTCAATTTTCATAACTGTATGGAACCTCTCTATAAGAAACTCTTCATTTGGGTTCACTTACAAACATCAACAAAATTAATTTTAAACATGTTTAATAGTTTATGTCATTTAACAAATAAACTATAATTATAAACCATATGAGGAGTTCGCGTATAAACTTAACTTTCACTAATTCTATCTATAAATAGCACTTACTGTTCACCTGTTGCTAATAGAGATGTTTGACTGTATTATAATGAGCTAAAAAGGCATTAATTGTTTACATTTTGTTTAGTTTTTGAATGAATTAAAAACATTAGACATTAAATGTAAACCACTTTTGATTGTCATTTAATTGAGTATTAATTGAATGACAATGTATTGAATGGTTTGTATTGTGAGTAACGCTTGCATTGGTTTCCATAACAACCAATTGTTTACAACAAAACATTTCAATTGATTGTTAAGTGATGTTTGGCTGTGAGTGAAGACAATGTCCAAG